CGTGATTGATGCGTGACGTGACAATACTGCCAATCTATTCGGCTGACAGAGACACGATTATGGCAACGGAGATGAGAAACTCAGTAAATTCTTGGACTTTGTCCATGTATCTTTTTCTGTGGTATATTTTAATCTAAAGCTATCTGTTATCCAGAAGAAAACGAATGGCTCTAATCCTCTCAGGATTATTGTACCTCGGTGATAATAAAAAAAAAGCGACACTTCTATTCAAGTATACTCTTTCATATTTTGATTGTACCTTTGCAATCGTCGTTGATTTAGTTGTACATTTTTAGGTACATTTAGGTACATTTAGGTTAGGAGCATTAGGTCATTGACTAACTAGTGTAGATCTGGAGATCAATACTTTTTCGTGTTTTGATGAATTTCGTGTCACATTCTATCATATCGATTTAGACAGGTTCTGCACCGCAGTGTTATTAAATTTTAACTTTAACAATTTATAACAATCGACTTGAGCAATCTATTTAAGACAGATAATGAAGATGACAAGTGAATTATTGAATGAAATAATTAATTTAATCGTTTAATTATAATAGAAAGGTTGTGAATATTACATTGAATAATGCTATAGAAATAAAATAATTCAATTGTTTTAAACGAATTATTCAAACTATAAAATAATGCATTTCTGTGATATTTTTATATATTAGTTAGTAATTCCAACTATTTATTTGTTGGTTATAATTTTGTTCCAGGAGGATGATAAATTGTAAAATATATGAGAAATTCGCTACTAAACAATTTTCAAATAATTTCCTACAAAGTCAATAACTGCAATATCTACGAACCTAACATTTTATCAATACGTTATTAAAAAAAAACAGAAAGGAGGTGAGCTCGTTTCATCCGGATCCGGTTTTCTTTTTTCAAATCAAGACAGGATATTGTCGTGACTGCCGGAAACCACCGCGTTCCATCCTGTCCTTCTTCAAATTTTTTGTTGGCCTCCACACTGATAGAACAAGCACTTTTGACACCAAAATATCACAGTGGTCAAAATGATCATTCTGTAATTTTTATGTATTAAATATTTTATAGATGTGAAGTATTTTTCGAGGTTTAAATAATTCTTTCGTAAAATGTGACAAATGAAATCTCTAGTCCATCATCGTGTTATAAAGTTTTTCTACTTTTCTTTACTCGAATGTCTCTGATGGAAATTTTACGCTTTAAAAATTTCGACGTTTTCAGTTCTACTGTTAAATATCGAGAAGAAAACAAAAGAATCGAATCGCACACAGTATTTCAAAGTTTTCTGTTCACAACTCTGTTAATTTGTAAGCTTTTGAATGAACTACAAGCTTCGAAGAAAGGAATCTTGGGAATTTCAACATTAAAATTACCGACGACTGAAATTTTCATCAGAGTCGTTAAAGTGAAAAAAAAAAAAAAAATAGAACAATAACTTGCACGAACTTTCATCTATATATTTCACAAGGAAATCATTCGATTCTCTAAAAATGCACTCGTGTCGTGTCTGCAAAATTTCTAACAGAAATTATAAATTGATCATTTTGACCATTTCTCATTAATCACCTCGACGACACACAGTGTACCGGATTTGTCCAGGCGAAAAAGAATCAACTTTCTCATTTTGATATTTTTTTAAAATATATATTGATTTCCAAATGTTCACCAACCTCGAAAAAATTAATAAAAAGTAATAATAATTTTAAAACAGACGCATAAAGTTACTACGCATTTTAAAAATCTCGATTCCCATCAAATAATTTAGTTCTTCTTTGAAATGTTCCTGACAACTTTTTATCTTTTTTTAATTTTTCTCTACGATAAAATATGGCCTCTCTCGATGAAAAACCATGCTTCGTATTGCAAATTATACGATGTGTTTTTAAAAAGAATATCGAACGGAATGAAGAAAATTGAAAAAAATTTCGACAAGCAATATCATTCAAGTGCCGCAAAGTCCCACGATCCAGACAGTAAGGATCTTTTCAGTGAATCTTCTTCTGTATCGACACCGCGAATACACACGAAGACACCTGCACTTTTTTTTTTCAATGTTGATATCGTCGTAAATCTCATCTCGGGACGTTCAGTTGATAAATAACGCGGGCCAAACGCATGCGCCCGTTGAGCATCGATTATTTTGATTGGTGCCAGATATTGCCAGGCTCCAGCCGTGGCAGTTTGCCACGAGCCAAAACGAATGTCGAATTCTTGTAACCTCGAACGCTCGGATAAACGATAATAAACGATATTCCGTCGAATATGTGAGAGAAAAATGTTTTGCACGTAACGATAGCGTAGCGAGCACGAGGGGAAACTTTAAACCCCCGTTCACCCGTCGACGAATTCGCATGAATTGAAATATTTTTCGCCGAGTTTGACATGCGTGAAACGACGCGGAGATATTTCAAATTTTTGGTCAATGGGACGTGTATTAGTCCCGACTAATTACAGAGAATATCCCAGTGGAATGATCAATGGAATTATCGAGTGTTCGTGTTTCAAGGTAGGTTTGAATTTTATGTAAGTGAAAGGAGAGAAAGCTTACTTTTTTTAATGTGACATTGGATCAATCTGTTTGTCAAAACTTTTTCAAATAGCAAGCGAAGAATAATATTTTCTTCTTTTATTATTTATATCATTTGTTTGTTTCAGCGTCGATTATTACAGTGATAATCATTGTTTCTCTCGATACTAGCATTGATCGAAATACTTTGTAAAATTAAAATTGACTTTTATAACGAAATAGACGATGATTAGGAAATCGTAAAAACTACGAAGATGGAAGTACTAAGTAAATAAATAAATATAAAGAAAAATGTATATTTGAATTTAACATTTTTCGACAGTTCGACCTACCACTGAAAATTACAATGAAGTTACATGTATATCATGGGATTGTTTTGTTTCGTAAACATTTTCAAGCAACAACTACTTTTACAGTTGAAATTTTACGGTGAACTTCTCTTTCGGCAATCACTAACCGCTGTAATAAATCTCATGATACTACGTTAGTATCAATTAATAACAGTAATAATAATAAGAAAATTTCTTTTCATTTTCCTCTAAATATCAGAAATAATATAGAACTGAAGTATCAAATTGATCAAAACTCAGAAGTATATCTTATTTGTTTGATTATTAAATTTTTATTTTATTGGATATAATTTTATTACCATACGATCAGACTACGATAAATTTCTTTTCAGCAAATTTTTAAACGGCAGTGCGAGTTCCGAGAAGATGTTTCAGCAGTGGGATTATTAAATATACTTCCTTAAGTACGCGTCAATTAGAAAAGAGAAGATACTAATAGTAGGTCGTAAAGTGGTGCTACTTGAGTTTTCATTGAAAAAAGTGAGGGAAGCAGTTTATGAGAAACTCTTATCATCCCTCGGTGAAAGTGGAATCTTAAATGCAAAACTCGAGCACGCGGCTTGAAAAAAAATTCCCTACCAGGATATGCACTCTCTCTCAGAGAGACTTCTCTTTCGAAAACGTTCATTCTCTGCAAACATAAACAGGCTTGTCTCGTTAATAATAATAAAGCCAATGCCTAATAACTCACAATATTAATAATAATAATGACAATAAAATTAGAAAAGGAACAGATTTCAAGGAATCGAAGAGAAGAAAATTGAGATAAACGTCGAGATAAAAGATACAATACTATGCTCTTAACTTTTAATTCAATAGCACTGCGTTGTCCATTAAATTTAATCAAACATTTTTAAATATCGTTGCTTCACTGCATTACTAATTTGCCATTAAAGTGCAATGATTAATAAGAGACAAGCCGTGGAATATTACAGTACTGAGTATCGTTAATATTTCAGAATATCCGAATAAATGATCGAAATTAAAGGATAAAACTCAAAAGATAAAGCAAACATATTCTTGCCTTTTCTTTTTAATTAAACCAAAAAATATCGTTGCGCTCAGCAACGTAGTTCATCCAGCTTATATATAGATTGCTCACAAAAATTGGGAGATATTTGAAAATGAATACGAAAAGAAGCATCTGATTTTTTTTTATTAAACAAGAACATCAGAAAAGCAAACGACAAGTCAAAGAAAGTTGTTCGATTGTTTAATAAGAAAATCAAATGCTTCTTTTTTTTTTATCGCTTTATATTCACTTTCAAATGTCCCCTAATTTTTGTGAGCAGTGTACATATGCTTGTCTTTTTTATTTATTCGCATTGTGTTTGCTAAAACAGTCCTCTGTTTGATTCAATCTCGTTTATTTCGACAGAGTTTCTTTCGAAGCACAAAGTACCGGGTTTTTCGAAAAAAATTTATGAAATTCAATGACGAGCGGGGTAACACAATGACTAGCACGAAACCGACCACCTGCAAAGAGGCGATTCGATTATGGGAAGAAGCGAGTGGACAGGAGGTTTCCACCGCGAAAGAGGTGATCCTAAGTTTCCAATGGCCTCCTATAGAAAAGATGGACAACGCTCTGTCCGTTTTGGTCAACTGCGAGAAGCTCTCGTTGTCGACGAACATGATTGAAAAGATCGCAGGTAAATATATAATTTTCGATAATTATTTTTTTTTTTGTTCTCTGGCAATATTCGTCGGACAATTGTTAATTATTTCTATTACTTCCTGTTATTAATTTCATTACTAATTATTATTTTATTTAAGTGCAATTATAATATTCTTGAACATTTTTTTTTTATAATATCATTTTCAAAATTAAGGAACGTGACTATAGAATTTTACTAAATGTTGTATTTCATATCAGCTACCATTTATTTACTGTCATTATTCTTCAATTAAATGTATTCGCTTAAAAGAAAATCTCCTTCATAATTTCATTCTTTAAGTCAAGAAATGTTAATTACTGACTATTCAATATAATTATAAAACATTTATAAACATTCTTTCTTTTCAAGATTAAGAGACGTTAATTAAAAAAATCTCGCCAAAGTTGTATCATATTTTATACTTTATACTTAGTATAAGAAATTTCAAAACTTGAACACTTTATCACCAAAACGATACATCCCAGTAAAAGATTTATTCCATTTTCCATTTGATCACAATGTTCATGCATCGATCGTTAACATTTCGTTACAATGATTACAATATATGTATAAATGATAAAACACGATTATTTTTAAATTATATAATATTCTTCTCTCTGCGCGCGGTGCCATTTTTCTTTCCCCCTTTCTTTTCCAAATCGCGATACGTCAGTGAAGAAGCTTGACATATAAGCAGCGATATATCGGTATCGCGATTCAAAATCATTTAAAGCCCGCAGATTCGCGCGGATCTCTCGTCGTGATGGACGCGCAAGAATAATGAACGAAATCGCTCGACTGGGCAGATAATTTCGCTTAAATGGAATTACATCACGGGTCACGAGAAATGGATCGTAGCTGCTGCTCGATCTCCTTAATTGACGTTTAATTGCATCACGTTTAATACGATACGATCTGACTTGATTACAAGCGGATCTTCCTAGATCACATCTAATACCCTTGCGAAGTATCCTCTTGTCGGTATCGTTCTTCCCTTTTTTTTAAAATGAACATTTCATATCAATTCATTTTTCATCCTTGTAACTTCACGAGAGATTTTGTACTTCAATATAAAAGTCATTTTGTGCAATTTTGTAATTTGCGTTATTATTTTACCGAAAGAATATTAAACAAATATTAAAAAAATTAGAATATAGAAGAAGGATGTAAAGATATTAGAAGACGTTTGTTTACTAATTGATTAATCACTAAAAGATTTATTATTAGAAAAATTTCATGCGAGAGTTTGTTGTTTGATGAAAGTAATTTCAGTTAATAATTTCACTAAATAATTTTGTATATGTCTATATTGGAGAGATTGTAAGAATATTATTAATTAATTTGATTAATTATTAGATTTATCGTTAGAAAAATTAATTAATTGCCAGAAGAATATACTTATTTGCTGAATATTTCACAATAGCACAAAACATTATCAAGCTGACATTAGAAAAAAAAAAAATCTAAAACTTTCTCTTTCATAAAACACTCTTTCTCTCACACTTTTTCTCAAAATAAGAATGTTAAAGTCACCCTTTCAATTTCTTAATTATTTCATAGAATAAACACAGTCAATTGAGCATGGTTAAATTAAATATTAAATATTAAGTGTTTCTTAGTTGATCTCTGAAGGAAACAAAACTTCATAGATCGTAAGTGAAATGAATGAAAAATCCTGTGTTTCTCTGAATGGGCATAGGAGTCGCAGCCTTGAAGAATCTAAAGATCCTTTCGTTAGGACGTAACCTGATCAAAGGATTCGCCGGTTTAGAGGCATTAGGCGACACGCTGGAGGAACTTTGGATTTCGTACAACCTCATCGAGAAAATGAAGGGAATCAACGCGATGAGGAATCTCCGTGTCCTGTACATGTCGAACAATTTGGTCAGAGAGTGGTCTGAATTTAACAAACTTCAGGAGCTCGGTAATCTTCAAGATTTGCTCTTCGTCGGGAATCCGTTGCACGAGAGCGTGGAGGTGGGTCCCATTTCGTGTCTTCTCTGAAGAATTTGTTTCTGAAAAATTCGAAAGACTCTTTCCCGCAATTTACCATTCTCTTCGCGAATCCTCTCACGTTCCAATTAATAAAAGGATTTAAAATTTTATACATTTATGGTTACTATGGTTTTTTTAAACTTTAATGACGAGTGTTATCAAGTTGTAAGCAGATGATAGACGAATTTGTTTTTTTTACAATTTTACGTGGTGAAATTACAGGAAGATTTGTAAAATTCGTCTCTTTCATTTAGCGAAAATTTGCTACTGTAATAAAAGAGAAATTGACGCCAAGAGCAACTTGCGACGTATGAAATTTCAGTGCAAGAGAATCCGGATAATTATAATATTTAAACTGAGATTCCCAGATATATGCCACGTCCATTTGCACGCACGACATATTCTGACATTTCGTAGTAGTGTGTCATTTAAATTTTAACGAAGCCACGTCTATTGATAAATGTAGAATATCTCTCGTGCTTCTGTGCTTCGAAAATATCACTCGAAAATTTACTAATTTACTAATAAGATTTTAGTAAATTAGTAGAACTCTCGAAGACTCCTTTTAATTTTGTATTTACGGAAAGAATAAGAAAATTTAAGTGAAAAAGCTGTGTCGCGATGATGATTATTTAACATTGAAAATTTTTAGCTGGAAAACTGGAGACTGGAAGTCGCCAGACGTTTGCCAACTTTGGAGAAATTAGACGGCGAGCCGATCATACGAACGGAAGAATGCGTGAACGTGTCGCAGAAACTCGACAGTCCTGTGCAAACTCAGAAATCGGTGGAGTAATTGAACAATCATATTTTGACAATTTAACAATCACGTCTCTCTTTCCTTTTTTTTTAGATCTTTTTCAATTGTACGTAGACTGCTTTTAACTTTGTAGACTTACGTACGTAGACTGCTTTAATTTTGTAGACTTTTAACTTTGTAGACTTACGTACGTAGACTGCTTTAATTTTGTAGACTGTCATTGGTAATTTGCCAAAGTGTGCAGTTATTTGTTACTATATAGAATTTTCGAGAGAAACAAACTTTTATAGAGATTTTGACATATGTGATTTTTATAGGAAAAGGAAGTTTCGTAGAATTTTTACTCGTGTGCGTGCAAAAATATGAAGCAAATATTTTTGTAAATTTAAACGTCAATTGCAAGTGTATCGTTTATAATTTTATTTACATTATTTTGTTCCACATACTTTAATGAAAAAATATTTAAAAAGAGGCTGTAAATTGTCCTTGTGAAAAATTGAAATAAGAATATATTATGCGTAAAAAGCAGAAATGAAAATGTAATTTGTTAAATTGAATTAAGTGTCATGAAGGGTGTAGACAACCACACGTATATTTTCATACATTTATATTAATTTATTCGTCTTACGATACAAGACAAATCGTACATATGTTTCTGGTGATTGTAAAAGGTTGAAAAAGCAAATAGAGTTCGATTGGATTCGATGCACGAGATTATACCGAGGATCGGACAGACGACATGATTTTTCGAGAGATCATCGTTCCCTTCTCCTTCTTCTCTTCTTTTCGTAATATATTTCTGTTTTCTTTTTTTTTTTTTTTCTATTTTT